ATAAATTTTAATAAGATAAGAATTAATGATTATTATCCACGAAACTCTACGGCAGAAAAAAATCAGTGCGCTTCTATTTTTTTATTTTATATCATAATAATTGTCGACGATCTCTTTTTCTCCATGAGCCGCTTCGCTTTTCTTCGCCAGAGAAACTCGAGCGCGACGAATGCAAAGAAGGGTATCGCCCGAAGACCTTGGATAAAGAACTCGGATCGACCTGCATGTAGGCCAGTAGGTCAAGTTGACATTAGCGCAGTGAATCACGTAGCAACCATCGAGAACCCTCTCTTCCCACGTGTACTTCAAATAGCGAGGCGTTCCTAAATTTCCGACATGTTTCGCTCGGAGGCGAGATAATTAATCTTGGTTGATAAACAAATGCGCGTAAATTTATTACTGACTGTTATTAGATCATAAAAAACTTATAGAAACCATTCCCGAGTGTCCTCGCCGTTAACTTCATGAAGATATTTTCTTCGAAGAGCCTTTCGCAAAATATTTAATTCCGAAATATTAGTTTTCGTATTTATAATTATTTATTTTAGCAATTTCATCAATTATCTATATTGATTGTTAATGATTTGCACGCAAGATCTGTTGGTTTTGATCGAAAATATGAACATTGAAAGAAAAGCGGCTTTAGTATTTGTGATTATAATACCATGGTAAAATTATATTACATTTTTATAGTTATTACTGATATCATTATATTAATATTGATATTAATATAATTATAATTATAATTCTACAAATAAACACATAGTTGGCACCAAAAATGACTATACACTACACACAGTCGGGAAAAAGTTATATTAAATTTAATACATTTCACACGTGCCAAACGGTCCACCAAAATTTTTACGTTCATTTAACACAAGCTGAATACCATAGATAGTAACATAAACATTATGTAATAATTAATATAAAAAATATAACACTTTGACACAATTTATATGTGGAAACGTGTTTCTTCAGTAAAATTAACTTATAATATGTTACATTAACGTGCGTACATTCGTTTATTTGTTTATTCATCTTTTTTATTTATCTTAAAATTTATGTTTTAAAACTACATTATATTTGTTATTTATTTTTTCATAAATTGTATTATTTGTATTATTTTTAACACTAAGAAATGTTAAATATTAATTTAACACAAGATATTCAAATAACATAATCACATTATGTTATAAATGTAACAAACATATAAATGAATCGTTTTTAATATAAATACAAAATGTTTTCTACTTTGTAATTAAATTTTGATGATCGCAACCATTTTTTTCTCAGTATTTTTCAAAGAAATTGGAAGGAAAAAAGGGCGCTTAAAAAATTCGCTCGAAAGCACGCCGTAATCTACCGACAAATTGCCCGAGAATCACGAGACTGGTCGGATAATTCTACGTGGACGATTCCGTCTGCCTAAACGCCAAGATTTATGCGTCTAATATGACCGGTATTAATTCATAAATCCAGACAGTATTACCATCCGCGTGAAACTCGTGATTCATAAATCTCGGGATTTATGCGCGCGTTCTGAACGCTTAGACACTTTGTGCGTGCGTAACTGTCTTTGGAAACGTAATATCGTTTCAGGCAAATTACAGAATTCTAACCCTGAGCGTAGCTAGAAAGAATTCGTGGTTCTCTGTCTTCTCGTCGAGAACATAAATTTACTTTAGAACAGCGAAAGATATTTCAATACGCGCAAATATTATAGCAACATTTCTTCGACTCTAAAAGCGACTAATAGATTAGATTCAGAGCGGATAATAGATTTTTAGCAATTAAATTTTCGAGTTTCCAAATTACATAATAATAAAATAAATTATCAAAAGCAAATTAAGAAATTCTTTTTGCTCTTAAAAAATTATGTTGTTTCTCCGAAAGAGATTAAACATAAATTTATTTTAAAATCTTATGAGAATTCAGATTCATCTTATACATAATATAATTGTTTTATATATAATAAATAATGACAGATTTTAACGTATACTATTTTTATATAAATTCAGATTTTAATTACTCGTATATAAATTAGATTGAAACAGAAAAAAATCTGTCTCATTATCTTACAAATTCGCAGATTTTTAGATTTCAAAATCTTTCTATTTATAATATTATGTATATTGTAAATATTTAAAAAGATTTTTTTTTAATTATTCCGTTATCTTATCACGGACATTCGAATAGTTCTCGAAATAATTGAAAATGTTCTGAGAGATCGTAAGTGGGAAGATAAATGAGATTAAAAGATAATGTACGTGGAAAGATAATTCGACGGAAACGAAAAGCTACGATAATCTTCCATCACGTTTTAAAAAACTTGCAATTATCCTAGCCAAATTCCAAGAAAAAAAAACAATCGCTGCTACTATCGAAGATATGATATAAATCAAAATACCATAATATAATCTCATAATATGTCGACGGAACAATTTAAACTAGCGCAACCTTTTTTAAACTGAGGACCATTTTTAGAAATAGCTAAAATCTTGCGAACCGCATAAATTTTATCTCATCAATAAGAAAATTTAAAAAAATTAATATATAAAAATGAAATATTTTACAAACATGTCATTTATATTTACGAAATAAGCTATATTTTCAAATATAAATTCTTAAGAAAAATATATGTCAAAGCGTAAAAATATGAACATTTATTACATATATGTTAGTATGATGTTTGACATAACTGCTCAATGAAGTTACTTGTGTATAATATATTTAAAAAAATAAATAAAAGAACAAAACTGGAGATTATTTTCATAATGACCAAGACTTGCATTGACCAAGACTGCATGATGTTACTATTTTAATAATTTGCACAAAGTGGAAAATATGATTTTATATTTTCGGTTATGAATCGGCAGACCGCAAAAAATTCACGGGCGGGCCGCGAGTTGCGGCATCACTAATTTAAACTGTACTAAAAATCAGTCGCAAAATATTGCTGGAAATAAGATCGACTAACAAGAATACAAGAAACTTTTGATAAAGATTTATTTATAAAAATTCAGAACACAGTATTTTAAGACACACTCGTAGTAGGTTATTAGTAGTGCGCAAGTGTTGAAGATGTACGTCCAATCGAATATATCAGAGTAAACTGTTTCTAATATCTTAAGTAATTTAATTTTATTGACGCGTATTAATCATTCCCCTCTATACCGAAGATTTCCTTCATTATTTAAGTCATTTAAGACAATGCGAGGCGTAGTAATAAGTAATAATAAACAGGTCAATTAAGCGAAGCAATCAACTTTGATTGCGCTGTGTTTAGGATACATAGAAATGCGTATCGGAGCGATGCGATCACGCTGAATTATCTGAATTACCAGCGCGAGACCTGATTGCGCGTCGGCACGAGGCACGCCGAACATAGTAGATCGATATCGCGCAGCTCGCACGATTTAATATGCAAACGAATGACGTGCGTTTGATCCGCGCGCCGCCGGCGATCGCGCGACACCACACAAAATTCCTATTCGGCGAGCGGCCGATTTTTGCATTTTTCACCTCGCAAGAATCCACAGTGATGATCTGCCGTCCGATCTCCGGGGAGGAGAAGGAGGAGGAGGAGAACGTTGTTGCTAGAGGAGGAGGAGGTGGTGGTGATGGCGGTGGAGGAGGAGGCACACGGGTTCGCTTTTGCCTGAGCGTACCCGTTCGTTCACCCTAGCGGGGGCACCAACCTGGCTTTACTTCAGTTATACGCCGGGAGAGCTGGCGCGTTGTGTATATGTATATATATATATATATATATATATATGTGTGTGTGTGTGTGTGTGTTAGTATTATATAAAAAAGCGTGCACATATAGCACATATATATGAAATTAGATGTATATAAAAGTATATACGTAAGACGCGTGTATGGATGTTGTCTGGATATTCGCATCAGAAAAGACCAGAATTTAAAAAAAAAAAAAAATGCGGAAAAGACCGTGAAAAATTAAGTAACAAAAGCGTCCGCGTGATTTCTTATCCCGAATAGTAATCATTGTATACCGTAAGCATTTGAAGTTTGGTTAAAAACATAAGATACACTCGGACAAGACAGATCCATCATCCGCTTTTTCGCGTCGCTGATACTATGACTGTGCTTTTTCTCTAGCGTGAATGAGGAGGGTAATTAACATCGTTGTACGACTGTTTAACCATTGCTTAGGCGTAGCTAAATCCTGTGTGTTGAAAGAAGAAGAAGAAGACCGCTGCCGGGATTGAAAAGTCACGGACGCTTTGTCGTTACTCAAATTTTTTTCCCCACTCAATCGCTGCAACGCGCCTTTGAGCACATATTTCGGGACACCTTGTATAAAGGCATATAATACATTCTCGCGTGTACTTACACCTAGTATAGGTAGGTACACGAGGAGCGTACCGAGAGTGTCCCGGTCGAGCACGACGCGATTCCACGGCCCTTCGCGAAAGAGGGAGAAAGAGAGCGCGAGCGCGAGGCAGTACCAACTTCGCCGGCCCGTTCCACGGAGAAGTGAAGAAGAGAGCGAGAGAGACGGGGACCGCGTGAAGGCACGGGAAGAGGACGGGCGCTTTTGTTCGACCGCTCCGGACGCTCCGTCCGCTTCGCGAGTCGCTCTTCTCTTCGGAAGAGGCTCTCGACGCTAGGAATGAAGACATTACTGTCCGCGAGTAATACTCCGTCCGACTGTTTCTTAGCGTTGGAAGAGCGGAGGCTCTTCGGGTCCGCGAAGAGACGTCTTGCGACGCCCCGCGCGCCGTCGAATTCGCTGATCGTGCAATTTCCACCGTCACGGTGGAATTTGCACCGCTTAGAGTCGACGTCGGCTTACAGCCGTCGCCAGTCGGGTTCTTGACCTAAGCCTAAGCGCGAGCGAGAGAGCGGCGAAATTTCGATTTCGGAATGCGGACTGCTCGCCCGAGCGACGAGAATCGCGGATAAAAAGTTGAATTTGGGGAAAGCGACGGCTTTGTTGTTGTCAAAAAAAAAAAAGGAAGAAAGAGAAGGAGAGAAAGTTAGGAATAGAGAACGAATAGACTTGTATTCATTCGCACGTTGATACCATCGATATATATATATAAATATATATAGAATTCCAATAAAATGGACATTTAAATAATCGCATTAAAATTATATTTTACTTAACTAGATAATTATACGAGACTCGCGCGATCACAGGTATATACATTCGAATCGACACGCAGAGATTAAGAATAACGAGTCAAATTCGATGCATTGACCATCCGAATGGATACGGGAGCGGTCACCGTGTCCGTCGGACTGGATCTCTGCGGATGATGGGAATAACTGACTTCCATGTCGATCTCGTCGAGCTCCTCCTCCTCTTCCTCGTGGGTGTCCGACTCGTCTTCCTCTTCGCCCTCTCCCTCCTCCTCCTCCTCCTCCTCTTCCTCTCCCTCCGAGCCTCTGAACTAGATTTTTCATGCGCGCGAGAGAAAGTTGATATTAATATTGTACATTGGGTGTCATTAATCCGTTTCAGTTCCGGTTTAGGCATTTCCGGATGTCGAACGTGTCAAATCCAGATATTCGTGACATTCGTGAAACGTTAAGCTGTGCCTAACAGTTTAACATTTCAAGTGTATAATACGACAGATTGAATAATGATTGAGGCTAAAAAATATAATAAGTAATAACTTATATACAATATTAACCAATAAAAAATGTTACATAATATATTGATGAATAGAAATATGAAATTTTTAAACACATTATTAGCGCAGGAATAAAATGCGTTCTAAATGCGTTCGATCGAGAAATGTATCAATAATTGGAAGGTATTAATGACACTAAGTATTACTTCGGCAATTATTATAATTTTGTTGCCATACGTCGATATTTAAAAACTCTTAGAATCGGTCTCATCATCTTCGATTAATTTAATCGATTAATTGAATTGAGCCATTGGATTTAACCAATCGCAAGCTGAATTGACTAGAATTAATCACAGCTGACACTTAATCGACCAATTAAATTAATCTTAGATAATGAGACTGGCTCTTAATTATTATGCAGTAAATTATGTGCGCGGCATTTTGGGTTTGCCAGAAACAATACCGATGACAGTGTTCGAGTTCCGACTGATGGTAAAGAAAGCACAACATCATAGTAACTACGTTAAGTCGAATGATGGCGCAATTTGTCAGGATACGATTTTTCTATTTAAATATACTTCATCTTTTTATCTATTTTATCTATTTAATCTTTTACGTATTCTTGAACTTCGAAATATTGTATAAAAATTATTTCTATATAAGATTTTTTAAAAATCTGTGTTAAAAATCTGAACTCTGAAGAAACTATTTCTACAAGATTACATCTCCAGAATTTGCAAAATAGTTTAAAATTTTGATTATTATTCATAGAGAAAAAATTTAGGAATTAATTCGCATTTTATACATTTATTACAGTTGCAGTATTTTGATTTTTTTCTCTGCAGTTTATTTATTAGACAAATGATACTACTACTGTATTAAAAAAATATTAAAATTAAATAGAAAAAGAGCAAGTCTTATCACTTTTGCTACATATATAAATTTATCTTCTACTTAAGGCTCCTGTACTTATCACTATTATCTCAGATTGTAGTGTTAAAAGCAAGAAAATAAAAATTCTAGCAAAATACAGCATGAAGCAACAACTTCGTCTACCTAGAATATCTTCGCTATTTTTAGAGATATAAAAATATTTATTTACGAAAGTTGTATATTGTTTATAATTTTTTGTAGCAAGGTGGACAAAAAATTATTATTGATGGACAAATGCGTACAAATTGTGGACAATCGAATACCGTATATAATTAAAAAAAAATGCACTTAGGGATTCTTACATTAAAACTTTTCTTTCTTTTTTTAAATTTTTTCCAAGAGTGGACAAAAAATTATTATTATTGGACAAATTGTGAGCAATCTAATGTCAAAATTTGTATTTGGGGGTGCCAACTTCACACACCAAAGTTGTATAGTACCAACCAAGAGGGCTATAATATATTTAGTTAGTAATAATTTGTCTATGCATTAATAAGTGAACGCGCTTAAAATTAATAATTTATAAGATATGTTTTACGATTTATGTTGAGATGTGTATATTAAAATAAAGTATATATCTCGCAAAATACTAATTTTTCTACCTTTTATGCGCAGAATAACTATAGGAATCATATTTATTATATATTACGTCAACAAATATTTTATTTTAAAAAATAGAGATGACCTTCAAATTTCTGAAATTATAGAAAAATTATTACTAATGTATTATGGACCTCTTGATACGGCTTTCATATAAATTAATATTTTCATATTTCTAAAAATAGAGCACAGTATTCTAGGTGAATGAAGTTATTGCTCCACGCTCTATATTCAAATAAAAATATTGTTTTCGATAAAATAACACTTACATTTGATAAAACCGATTTGTAAAATATTACAAATACTAAAAACTCTCTTTTTAGTTAATTAATAAATAACCATATACCTTGAAATGAATTAGGCATAAAAACGAAATAAGTTATTCACAGTTGACAATTATTACAAGTTAATAATATATAGAAATAAATATGAATTAATTCCTTCTCGAAATAAAAAGAGAGTTATCAATATACATATTTTATAAGTATAATCTCTATTGATTGCAAATTATTTTGTTTGAAAAATATTTAAATATATTTTTTAAGAATTTTTATAGAGTACATTTTTTCGCTTCTCTAATGTCACAATCTGAAATAGTAGTGAGTGAACAGGAGCTCATGCTAACGTTTGACGCTCATTTTTAACAAGAAGACGGATCACATGATCAAAATTGACGTTTGATATTCGTCAATTTTGATCACGTAATCTGTTTTGACGCTAAAAATATCTGTCGAGCGCCGGGCCGAAATGGTGCCTTAAAAATTAAGCGACTTTTATAAAACATACACTTTAAATCGACAATCCACTCCAACTTTACAATCGACTCTGACTGACTGATCAAAACGTAGCATTACTTGTAAACGGCAAAAACGTATACAGTATATATAAATGTAGAGAGAAAGTACACGAGTCGAATCTTTGATAGCAAACATCGAGAAGAAATTAAGGTGCGCCAATAACAGTTCCAAGCCGTGAAAATACAAATGCGCGACGAATACAGATCAATTAGGTTAGGTTAGGTTAACTTACATCGCTCACCGTCTTCCCGATTGGAATGTGCTCGTAGCCCTGCACCCGCACGTGATCCCTCTGGAATAAACGTAGAGAGATGTAGGACGACGCGTTACGGACGACGTGCGTCCGTTCAAAACTGTCCGCGCACTTACCCAGGCCTGGTGCTCCGCCTCGAGAGCGGCGACCTCGCTCTCGTCGTCGCACGGTCTGTCGGCGTTGAACCACAGCGGATCGGTCGAGCGCGGTCGCAGGTCGGGCCACAGCGGCCTGATCGACATCGCGAAGTCGAGAGATGCGAGGACGAGAGAGAACCGCGATGGAAAGTCTCTCAGTAAAACACCGTGTTCACTGTAATTCCACTCCCATGTCTCTTGACTGACCGATCCCGACTGTGTTGTGGATTTCGAACGTGTAAACAACAGACCACGCATGCGCGAGCTGGCCGCGCACTTGCGGCAGCCCGCCGCCCGGCCAGGCCAGGCGTTATACACGTTCCAGCTGTATTTTGTGTACTTTCTGCGCTTTTTTCAAAATTACCAAATCAAATTGGCGAGCCGATTTTCTATATCTGCCATCCCGTTCGAATATTCGTAAAATCAAATACAAATTGATGTACAAAATCGAAACAAGACGATCGATTATCGATGCATTGTAGCAAGAAAATATAAGGCGAAATGTGTCAAGATGATTTCGAGCGGTATACCGGGCACGCGAAAACGAATAATCAAAAATCATGCTATTAATATTTGTATGTACATATCTACAATCGTATAATCTCGAACACGATATTCAATGCAACATAACAAACATCCGACGTATTTGTCAAAATTATACGCTTGCGAAAATTTTTTATACACCTTTGGATGAAAAATTAAATAACATAATCGCGAAATGATACATATATATATATATATATATATACATTTGGTGCATTCTGAATTAATTTATTATAGCTGCGATTCTCGAATTCTATCGAGGAACATAAATTATTGCAATTCTGAAACTATTAAAACAGTCGGGATGACTTATAATTAACCGCAGCGTTAATAAAAAATGAAAGTTAATAAAGACTTCATTTAAGGATTGTATTCATTATCAGCAGTATCAGCACTTGCATAATTAACATTCTGCCTTTGTTTTATGTCTAATGATAAAGATGAAATAACTTAATAACATCGCGTTTATAATAGCACGCTCACCGAACATAAAACCGAAGAATTAATTGTAATACTTTTATACATGAAATGCATAATATGTTCTAGCATGCATGTTCAAAAGAAATATAAGGCGGGATTCTTAGTTGCTAATTTTCTAATTCACTATTAGAAGCTGCTATGGCACGTTAGTGGTTATCATAGTATAACCAGTAAGATCCACTTTGTGTCGGCTGCACCTTTCATCTCCTCGTTGAGATCACGTGATCGGCTATGTTAACATTTAAAAAATCCAGGATCAAATAGAGCGGAAGTAATGCCTCATAATTAATAAAACGGATAAGTAATAATACGGATTCGATATGGTGAAACCAATAAATTCAATGTAGGCAGAGTCGAATAAAACATTTTTAGTAACAATTATTCATAGGAGTGATCATTTAATATAAATATTTATACTAAAGAAAAAGGAACTTCTGATGTCAAATGGCTTATAAATTGTCTGCATAAATGTATATAAGTGTCTTACATTTCATTGAATCCAACCCAAAACAAAAGTTGCACGGAGATACCTGCGCGAACACGCATTTTTTCGCGGAATGGACCTATACTGGTCATACCATACTGTGATGGCTAGTAAAAAAAAAGTATTGTGTAAATCAGGCCCTCAATAATGTATATTTTGAAATAAGGAAAAAATTACAAAAGTGAGCAAATTCACTAGAATATTTTTAATTTCATTGGCCAATATAGATGGACTTTTAAAGATCTTTAAAGATACACAATCGACCCCAGGCTTTAGTCCTGAAATACAATAGGTGTAGTAAGCCTTAAGCCTTAAGAAATTGACCAATCATAAAAGATTATTCCCTTCACATTCGACTATGATTAGTTCATTTCTTAAAGCTTAAGGCTTCCTATTGTGTTTTGGGACTTACAGTCAATTCCTACAGGTCATACTTAAAATATTTTTTGCTTTATTATATAAAATAATCTATTTATTTATTATATCTATTATATCTATTTATTATATTCATTATATAATTGATATATTTATTATGTATATAATATAAATATTTATACATACGCTATACGTATGTATATACATACATATATCATCGAAATACGCTCAAACGAAAGATCTTTGCCGCGCGGCCGCAAACGGACTGCCATCGCGCGGCCGGCGCGCGTCTCACGTGTGTCACGTGTCCGTACGGCTGTTATTCGTGAATCGAAAGCGACTCTCGGTTCGTGCGTAGCTCCGCGGCGGCGTGGCGAACGGTGGCAGGCTTCACGGTGTGAAAGTCGCACAGTTCGCTAATGGATTCGCGAGTGATTGCTTGATTGCGTTCGGATACGAACGAAGAGTGAAGTCGCGTTCCCAAGGGTCAGCCTCATTCCACTATCGTCGCTCAACCTAATTTAGCTAGTTGATCGTCGCACAGCTTGACATAACCTCCACGAAGGTAAGCGACTCTCCGAAGATCCAGATGTAGGATATCCGCCGATAAACTCCGCTAATATTTCACTTCGTATTTCCTACCTTCTCAGAAGTCAAGAATAAAGTTTACCGAGATTCTTCGTTTCTCCTCGTCTATTCATAATAATAATAATAATTGCAAGGATCTTTCGCAATCTGTACCGCGCGAGATCCTGAGTCTCTCTCTCTTTCTCTCTCGCGTGCCATTTTTATCTCGTCAAATGACAATTTCGGCGCTGATCGATTGGCAGGGAGAGTAATGAACCGTCAACCGTCTCCACTTGGCCGCGCTCTTATCTCCCCTGGCCGACGCACGCCTAACAATATGAGAATATATCTCTGCCTCTTCTCTTCAGCGGAACAAGGCTGCTATCGCGATTTTGGCGTGACCTCCACACTCCGGCGAACAAAGCTTCAGAATATACAGCTTTCACCATCCGAACAACTTTCATCCTCTCGAGGAAACCCACGACGGACGTCAAAAAAGTTCGCGTTCCGATGAAAGCGTCCTCCGTATATCCTCAAATCACGATCCTAAGGGTTCTCGCGTGTACCTAGATTACCTGGAACGTCCTCTATTAATCTATGACTCTAAACCGAACACTCTCTCATATCCGCAACGCGGCTAGAGAGGCGCGGTTTAGAAAGGAGGAGTAGCGGAGTAATCTCCACGAATTACTCAATCGCAGCGGTCGGCCGTGAAACAGGTTTTCTCGTTGCGGATGTATCATTATGATCATCATCGCATCGCTCATCCCCGAGTTCTTTCCCGTCGTTGCGTTTTCCTCGTTAAAGTCTCGCCTCGCGCGCGACTCAACATATGTTACAACGCCCGCCAGAGACAGCCGCCGATAAAAGAAGCGAATGTAACGGGCGCGTTCGCTCTGATTTTTCACCGTTTTACGGCGTATCTTTCGTTATTTCGCGTTAAATCGTGCGCGAGCGAAGGAGAGAACGCTCTCCCTTTCGCTCCGGCAGCCACGGCGCGACGCGGCGGTGAAAGCGGACACCTGTCGCGCCGGGCGACGCGCGCGCGACGATAATCGCGCGTGTAATCGTCGTGGAATCGCGACGGATATTTATTTTATCGCGCCTCTCTGCCCCCACGGGCGGCACGCTAATTGATCGTGATTCACCGTCATTGATCCAATTGCAGCCAATATATTGTCAACCCTCGGTCCAGAATTTAGGTACATTATCTGACGATAGCGGCACGACGAGGCGTAGCGCGAGGTTCGATTCGGAACGGACATATGCTGCGAGTTTTATTCGAATTTGCGAGCACCTATTACATCACGATATTGCGTAATTAATCGCACCGGCTTCTTTTCCCCGAGATCACGGGGTTTTTCGTGAAATTGCCTAACCCGTCTCATTGTCAGTCTCGCGCAATCTTCGAGCAACATTAAGAACATCGTGTTTTTCGCAAAGTCGAGTAACGCCTGTTTTATCTTTTCTTTGAAACGAGAATTTACGATCAGATCTCAAGTTTCTATTGTAAGAGAAAAACTATTTTCTAGCAACGAGGTAGCTGCAGAAAACACAAATTTTCAAACATTTGTGCCCTCAGTTAGTAGTTTGAAGACGCGCGTCCGCTTTTACAGATTTCCAATTTCCGTATTATTTCATTCCGTGCTGTTTGATTTCTGTATATCGTTAAAAAAATGGGATTGGCAAAGCGCTAGGTTTCAAATATTATTTAGGTGGAGGTAAGACGCACCGCATAAAATAATACTCGGCAGTTGCGAAACCGCGTATGTTGAGAATTGAGTTCTTAGTAGAATGGATGCTATTAAAGGAACACGCGCAGAAATGTTCGCTGTAATGAGACCTGATATAGCTTTACATGCATGCCTGCACGATACCATGCGCAATTTAATGTAACGAAACTTCTCAGCAACAGAATTCTTGTATAGTATATGTCGAGTTCTCCGCACTTCCTTTCACCCGTAAGGTGACTGATCTTTAACTGACTTATACTTCCTTTTAAGATATTCAGTGACTTTTGTGTATTAAACGTTTAGAAGCGAAATGCCTTTCACGAATTGAAGAGAATTGAATTTCAAAAACGTAAACTATTAATATACAGTAAAAACCATTTTGTATTTGTATTAAAACCGGTCTTGTCAACATTTCTGTGTTTTTAACATTATGAATTTTTAACATGTCGGGTGTTAATTTAACATAATGTGATTATGTTATTTAAATATTTTGTGTTAAATTGATATTGCAGTATGTCTTAGTGTCAAAATAACACAATTTATGGAAAGTGAACAAATAATATAAAAGTATAATGTATTTTAAAACGTAAATTCAATTGTAAGATAAATGAATAATATGTACACGTTTAACATTTTATAAATGTTAATTTTACTGAAGAAATACACGTCCACAATTTGCTTACAAATTGTGTCAGTATTGCATATTTTGTATTATATTTTTTATATAATATTTGATTACTTTCTAACATTACATTCATCTTGTGTTAAATTAACACAAAAATTTGGGTGGACCATTTGTTAAAGACACAAATTTTCCAACTGCACATTATAGAAATATTCCTCATCTAATTTCTAATATACCTTATCTTTATTAATTTTGAATTAGCTTTAACTCTGAATTTCATTTACAGAGATATGTAAAAGTAAAGGAAAAGTCCACATCTAGATTAACCAAGGAAGATGGGGGGATCAATTTATTTTTAAAAAGACTTCGTTTATTGCAACGAGATTCTATCGCACGTCAATGCGACGTAGTAACTTCCGGTACTTTCATATTACTTTCACGTTTGGACTCACGAGAATTTATCCGTTCATTAACTCGAACATTATACTCCCACCATGCGAACTATTTGCGCTAACTGATCGATAATAATCAGAATTCTTGCCCTACTTCCGGCGATATTATAACGCCCATTTTCCTTCAGGATCTTCTGGTATTTCGATATAAGAGATTCCTGTAGCACGGTAGTTTAGACTTTTTCTGCCGACTGACAGTCGACTAACAGTCGACTTCGTGCTGTGTGGGTTGTCAATTGCTTTATTGATGTCATTTTTGTCATAAAATCTGTATATATTCTTGTGCAAGACTTTATCTCAAGTGGTTTTCTAATTAATAAAGTATAAGGATAATAGATAAAGATTCAAAGATTTTGAGATTTTTTTCTCTTAATTATACAGATTTTAGCCAGAAGTTTACTATAGTAACGGAAATTGTTCTTTCTTTCGTTTTTGTCTTTGAGATTTTGTAATTGATTTTAACGAAAATATTGGAGGAAGTCATCTGCCGCAAGAGAGCTTTCAATTTCAAATATTAAATATCCTTATAATCTACTCTGAAATTATGAATCCATCAGAAGAGTACGTTTTAGTATACGAAATTAAATGAAAGTGTTTATTACAGTTGTTCGGAAATTTTATTTCACATTAAAGCAAGATTTAGAATTGAGATTGCAAATTCTATTAATTTTCTTTTGAAATAGAATTTCACAACTTGTTTTTACTTCTGAAGTTAATTTTCAAAAAGATTTTTATCTCCTGTCATGGATATAACTTGAAAACACTATTATTTCCTCGATTTTATTAAAAATGTTTAAGGTTAATCGATTCTAAATTGGTCTAAATATCTGTACGAAAAGTTATCTATGAAATATGATATTTGTGCACAGCTGAATGCTGTAGTTGATTATCGCCTCAAGGTAAGATTATCGACTCAATGTCGATTTATTCGCAAACGGGGAAAATCATGTTTAAATTCAGAGAATCCAAAGAATGTACATTTTCGAAATTATATGTAAATCTAAAGCACGTATACCTATTCTAATTGCTCACACTTTGTTCGTAAATATATTTTTATCGAAACACGAAAGCTTTTTCTTCCTGCTACTTCTTCCCGACTATCAGAACATCCTGTTTTTTTTTTCTTTTTTTCAAGCGTTTCTCTTGATCGTAGGTTTTAATCGCGGTTTCTGCGGCTGTGCCATCGTCGTGATAATAATGAGTCGTCTTCATCAACCGGAACATTCTGTTTCTGGCTTGGTATAACTAGTTACTTCGCTTATTTTTTAATTTAACGGTTTTCATTACAAGCCGTTTAGCGGAATGTCCTACGAGAGTTGAGAATTTAATCCCAACTACTCGGAAAACCATTAAATCGGCATATATACTGTTACGATATACAATTTCGAGATAGCCGCGATGCTATCTGTGGACGAGATAGCCGGTGGAAAAATTAATGATAATGACAACGAGCACTCGTACACGCACTAACGGTAGCAGTTCGAGTCGTCATTCGTTCCGTCGTCATTTTGTTGAAAAATTGGAACAATAGTGCTTGGCGGGCGAGCCGGTAACGTGTCAGCGAATGCGCATTTAAACGCGTTTACTCGTAATGTATCTTTATCTGCTGCTTACGTGTTTTTTCCTCCACAAACACGACACAAAACGGAAAAGATACAAAACAAATGTGGTCAGTTTGGCGAGTGTTATTCTTCATACGAAGAATAGCTCGATCTTGTCCCTACGCACCTATGCAAAAGAGACGCTTAAGGGGTTACACCATCTTGACCGCCTAAAAATTAAGGTAACTTTGGAAATTTTTTTTAGGAAAACAATAAAAGTAATAAAAAATTTGTTTTAAGGTTTTAATAATACAAATCTTTAGAAGTAAAAATATTTTTTTCATTTATTTTTTTAATAAAATGACGACGCTGAAGCCATTTTATTAAACGTCGTTTTGTAGCCACTGTCAAATCGGCGTTGCGGGGATCTGCCATTTGATTGAACTTGGAGCAAAAAACCAAAATTTTTTAAAAACTATATAATATGTACTAAAGAAATACATACGGATATTTTGAAATATAGATTTTTATAAAAATTGCGAACATTTGAAAAAAAAGTGTTATTTTCGGCTAAAAAA